ATGTTAGGTATTGTGGGAAAATGTGAGGTATTTTGAGAAAATGTATAGTATTGCGGGGAAATGTGAGGCATAATGAGGAATATTGAGGAATTAGTAGGAAATGTGAGGTATTGTAAGGATATGTGAAGTATTGTGAGGAAATGTGGGTATTGTGGGGACATGTTGTAATGAATATCGCGTAACATTATATTTGTTAACCTGAACATTCTTAGATATATTACATTGTCTGTAAATCTAATTTACTTGTAAATAGTTACGCAAAACTTGAAATGTAAATAACTACGTCAAACCTGTATTGTGATTAGCTTAACTACGCATGTATATAGCGTTGTAAAACTTGTAATTACGTTGATTAATTTAACTTGTTAGATAGAACCCAAAATACATTTAGTTTGAATAGACTTTGCTTTGATTACAGTGAAAGAGTAATTGTTTCTTGTTCAGTAACGAGAAATGCCCGAAATCACTTTTTAAAGATAGACAGACGTAGATTGGGCATTGTTTAGATAATTCGTGTCTGGAAAGACATTGATAGTTTATGGTTCAGAGATCGTGTCCAGATTGACATTGATAGTGAAGCATGCAGCAGTATAGATAAATCGTGTCCTGAATGACGCCTCGTAGACCAACAAGAGGGATTGAGTTGTACCTGGATTGATGCAGGTCTGAAAGACCTTTATGGAGTAAGGCATTTACTACAATGTAAGGTATTGTGAGGAAATGTGAGGTATTGGGGGGACATGTGAGGTATTGTGAGGATATGTGAGGAATTATGAGGAAATGTGAGGAATTGTGAGGTATTGCGAGGACATGTGAGGTATTGTGGAGAAATATGAGGCATTGTGTGGAAATGTGGACATGTGAGGTATTGTTGGGAAATGTGAGGTATTGTGAGGATATGTGAGGAGTTATGAGGAAATTTCAGAAAATGCGAGGTATTGTAAGGAAATGTGAGGTATTGCGTGGATATGTGAGGTATTGTAAGGAAATGTGAGGATAAAGGAAGAAATGTGAGGCATTGTGAGGAAATGTTAGGTATTGTGAAGAAATGTGAGGCAGTGTGAGGAACTGTAAGGTATTGTGAGAATATGTTAGAAATTACAAGGGTTTTGTGAGGGAATTTGTGAAAAAATAATTTAATATAATCTAATTTATTTTTATTATTTTTATAAAATAAATGGTACGAGGCATAGTTAACAATTTCAAATTTTTATTTTTTTAATCTTTTCTCTGTCTGCATGTCCGCAGTTTCTCTTTATCTTGCCTCCCTTTGCCCGGCCATTTATGGCGCTGTTTTTGAAAGAATGTTTACGAGCCGCTGTCTTTGCGCCATTATAAGAAAGTGTGCATGTAGACTCTTTCATTGTATAGATGTCCCCCCTCACCGTTTTTGATTTGTTTTGCTCAGCTCTGCACATTCTGTTTACTTAATGTGTAGAAATATGAGGAAATGTGTGGTATTGTTAAGTATTGTGAGGGAATGTGAGGATGTAAGGGAATGTGAGTAAATGTGAGGAAAAGTAAGATAATGTGATCAGGGGGGGAATTGGGGCTCAACCCCCCCCCCTGGACTAGTGAAATACATGGTTTCAGGGTGTTTTATGGTCCTAACGGGTACGTGCTGGACCTCCGATAGGAACAAAAGCTAATTCTGAGATTTAAGTTGAAAGAAGGAAATTATGTTTACATTACTGAGTGAGTGAGTGTGTGATGGTGTGTGTGTGTGGTTCTGTACCACCTGTCTAACACTTGATTATTATAGTTTTGGTTGAGTAGCCTTCAGTTCATGGCGGAGTGAACACCTCCCCGTGTCTCCTCTTCTCTAGTAGCTTCCTACTACACTACAGTGATATGTACGCCCGGAGAACTTAACGAAACAGAAAAGTGAAAATCATATTTTTGTAAATATTTCCACCATGTTGGTTTTCATAAACAACTTTTTTTCTGAAATTATCTTCAGAACTATAATGTTTTACACAACTTAGGCATTATCTGTTTTACATGTTTTATGCTTTAAGTTTTGAATTACAAAAAATGTTTATAAAACCGCACTCTGTATATATATAAGAAAAAAACCTAACGTACGTTTTGTCTTGAACATCAAACATCATAAACAACTTTTTACTGATATTATCTTCAGAACATTTTTTCTTCACCATCAAAATGCCAAAGCTATTTCGAAATTAAGAATATTTTGTCAGAAATAATTAATAGAACATTAAATTCAATTCTATTATTATAAATGATCTAATCTAAAATCTATCCAAAATTAGGAATTTTAAGGAATATACATTTCTCATGTCGTTAAATAAGTTCTCAGTAAAATATTTGCGAGGTGCAGGGGCGTTCACAGGGGCGTTTACAGGGCTTTGGAGATTTAGCACAATGGTATTATCAGTGAAGATTATAATTCTCAGGGATTACATAAAAATGGAAGGGCGGGGGGTGGGGGCATTTCCTTTATTGTCTATTTGTGTTACAAGCCTGCTCTGATATTGTATGCTTTGTAACAACACAGAGGCATTAAAAACAGTAACACACATGGACAAATCGTTTTTTTCTCCGCTGTAATTTCGGTTTAACCTCTACAACACAATTGAATATTTGCCACAAACTTTGACTTTCTTATCCCTTTATCTTTGCAACCCAATGTCGTTAAACTATACATTCTGTGGTATCAAATAATCTAAGTTTTAGATATAAAAGGTCCATCAGAGGCCGAATTAAAATAATTTGAGCCGCGGCTTAAATATGGTTGGTTCCACTTAAAATTGTATCAAATGTTTCAAGAATTAAGCCGGCGCTTGATTTAAACCGGGTTTTGGCGAATTTAAGCCGCGGCTCAAATTCATTAAATTCGGCCTCAGGTTGCAAAGATATAAAGATTAGTAAATTTAACTTAAGAAACTTTAAAGACTCAAATCCTTTAAAGCACATCTGCACATTTAAGCGAAGTGAATGGACCCTTTTATGTTGGATTACAAACTACTTGTTACAATATATGTTAGATTTCTTATTTTCCCACACACAAATTCAAACAATTATTCATTTATTAAAGGAACAATTCGCAAAATCTATCTTAACCACATTTTTTATATCATTATTATATGAAAAAAATGAAAGGTTTTTTTGGAATTCCAATTTTTAATAATTAATTAATAATTAAAATAAGTTTTTGGGTGTGAGTGTTCCTTTAAGTGTAAAAAGTATGTGAACCGGACTAATGAAGGTATTACACCGAACCATCTGGTTTGTTTAACCAGCTCCTGGTTTATACAAATATATATATATATATATATATTTCTACACGGTACCATCTAGACCATGCTTTAAAATATATCATTTCACTTTCACAGAATATATTCATTATTTCCAGAAATAAATCTATCAATTTTTCAGTAATTTTTTCTTTTGTTTCTTTAAATTTTACTTTTGAAAAAGTTCATGGTCAATGAAATAAAAGAAATTGATTTTGATCAAGTATTGAGAGGGAATTATGAGGTTAATGAAATAAAATTCGAGCGTAGTGCAATATAAATAGAAATAGACATAGTTTTGAGACCTGTTTTCACACATTTGAGGGGTTTGAGGTCCGTTTCCACGCACTCAGGGGTTTTGAGGTCTGTTTTCACACATTCAGGGGTACCTTTAAAGGTCCTAAAAAACATCAAGCAAAAATCTGTAATATTCTATTTGCTTTAATCACATTAAACAATTTTTTCTCTCACCATAAATTTTAACCAAAACTATTATTCAGAACGAGTTTAACATCAGTTTGAAAGGTTGTTTTGGTCAGAGTAAAAATGTTGTTTGGGTCAGAGTAAAAATGTTATTTCGGTCAGAGTAAAAATGTTATTTGGGTCAGAGTAAAAATGTTATTTGGGTCTGAGTAAAAGTTTGTTTAGGTCAGAGTAAAAATGTTATTTGGGTCAGATTAAAAATGTTGTTTGGGTCAGAGTAAAAATGTTATTTGGGTCTGAGTAAAAATGTTGTTTAGGTCAGAGTAAAAATGCTATTTGGGTCAGAGTACAAATATTGTTTTGGTCAGAGTATAAATGTTGTTTTGAGTAAAAATGTGATAAAAGCAAACTTAATATCGCACACGATTTTGAAAAAGACGAAGTTCTTTAAAAGGGAGATAATTCAAATATACTGAGGGCGGAAATCTTGCTTGTTTGTCTGTTTGTTTGCATCCAATAACCGTCAAACCGTTGAACTGAGAGAGCATACAGTTTTTACATGGCAAATTAAACAATTTTGACCGGCTAAATTATCAGCAACTATTAATTGTGAAAATGTACCAATAAAATCTAGAAAAATCAGCTTACTTAGCAACAGTTAAATTAGCAGCTGAATAATTAAAAGGCCTGTGGAAGGAAGCTGAATAATGATTAGAGTAATATACAAATATTAAACTACTTTTATTTAACGCGAACAATCCCTTTAATGAAAATATAAAAACTTAGTTAAAGAAAGCAATTCTATTCAACAAAGAAATTGAATATCAAAAGCAATAAAAAACAATAAAATAGAAGATTTCATTATAACAAAAATAACTAAGATATTACAAAACTTTGTATTTTTCGTACAAATATTTTTGACTGTCTTTCTGCAACATCCATAACATCTTTTTTCCCTTTTGTAATTAACAGTAATGTAAATATATTTAAATTCCTTTTTTATTAAAAAAAGTTGCTGTTTTAAAACTCTGTATCTATTTATTTTTTTCAATGTGCCCTTAACAAGTTTAGAAATCCTATTATAACAATTTTGCAATTTACAGAATACAAATTCTTGTCATGATTTCTATACAAAAAAAAAACCTAAAGGAGACCGACAATTATTTTCGGTTTTCTTGTTACCATTTTATATCATTTCAGACACACCGCGCGTGGTAACCGCTTTTTAACATTATAATTTACATTTTTTGGAGAATTTTCACGATTTCAAATTCTGAGATTGTATAATTATTATTTTAGTAAGATATATTTTTCAGATATAAATGGCGCAATAAGTATGCGCGACACGTGTTGAATTGAAGACGACAAAACTAAAACTGATAAAAAAATGGCGGTCTATACAGGAAAGCGGAAAATGGGCTGGCTCAGACATGTGCTAACAATTCTCAGCGTAATCATATTTGTAAGTTTTACGTTTGAATTTTTAGATTTTTCAAATTGCTGGGGTTTAATAATAAAATGCCATAGATGATTCACAAAAGATACGAAAGTGACCCTTCATTTTTTTACATGACTGATCATCTCATTGCAAAAAGATTCGAAATTAAAATATATTTTCGGATAGAAAAGCAAGGATATAATTTAAATGCTTACTGTGAATCGAATATGTTAGTATAAAATGAAGGGTCTCTTGTAATTAAGTTAAAGCTCACTTAGATCTAGACTATTATAAACAGTTGCTTCAATTTTCAAGACTGGGTCGACTTTGAACTGTCGCGACACCTTGGCCTTTAATTTTACCTCACATATTCACTTTTATTTTTTAGTAGCCCTGGACAAGTCCATTTTTTAACTTTAACAAAATTGATTTTAGCTTTAGTGTTGAATAAGTAATTGGAATAATTAATTCATCTCTCTAAAGCTTACAGCATTTGGAACACTGTGGGCTGTGAGTTTGTCCATAATTGGACAATAGAAATATTAAGGTTTCTTTCCATTGATCCTTGTCCTTGTATTTTAGTTCCACAACAGTTTGGTGAAAACAGACGAAACATATTGTTTTTATTATTTATACATTTATCCGTATATATACTTGAAATAATGGTCAAACCTTCCACTTTTTATTTAATCTCTGATTACATACAAGGCTACCCACAAAGAATGGCTTCATTGAACTCTTTAAGCGTGATGCCTTCAAATAATTCATCTCTGGGTTTTCTCTATTTTTCCAACCTGATGTCGTACACGTTTGATATTTTAGAGCATTAAGTATACATACAACTATCATTTATTTAACTCTGCAAAGGACCTATTTTGTTTCATTGACCGTCATTTCTTAGACTTTCGAGTTTTAATCCTTTAGTTTTTTCAAATTTCATATTTAGTTTTTTCAAATTTTTATCTTTGCCATCCTGTCATACCTAAATTCCTCATTAAAAGTAAATATTTTTCTTCTTTTTCTCCTTCTCCATCACTTTTAAATTCACCTTCCTGTTCTTTTTATGAAACTGTCCTTATATTACCATCTATATTTTCCTTCCTGTCCTCCTATTTGAATTAATTAGTAGTTTTCTTATTTCAATCTATACTTCCCTTCCTGTCCTCCTATTTCATTCTATACTTCCTTTCCGGTCCTCCTATTTCAATCTATACTTCCCTTCCTGTTCTTTTATTTCAATCTATACTTCCCTTCCTGTCCTCTTATTTCAATCTATACCTCCCTTCCTGTCCTCCTATTTCAATCTAAACTTCCCTTCCTGTCCTCCTATTTCAATCTACACCTCCCTTCCTTTCCTCCTATTTCAATCTAAACTTCCCTTCCTGTCCTCCTATTTCAATCTATCCCTTTCTGTCCTCCTATTTCAATCTATACTTCCCTTCCAGTACTCCTATTTCAATTTAAACTTCCCTTCCTGTCCTCCTATTTCAATCTTTACTTCCCTTCCTGTCCTCCTATTTCAATCTATACTCCCCTTCCAGTCCTCCTATTTCAATCTATACTTCCCATCCTGTTCTCCTATTTCAATCTATACTTCCCTTCCTATCCTCCTATTTCAATCTATACTTCCCATCCTGTCCTCCTATTTCAATCTATACCTCCCTTCCTGTCCTCTTATTTCAATCTATACATCACTTCCTATCCTCCTATTTCAATCTATACTTCCCTTCTTGTCCTCCTTTCATCCTTCTTTTCATCCTTGCATCCTTCTTTTCATCCTTTCATCCTTCTTTTCATCCTTTCATCCTATTTCAATCTATACTTTCCTTCCTGTCCTCCTATTTCAATCTATACTTTCCTTCCTGTCCTCCTATTTCAATCTATACTTCCCTTCTTGTCCTCCTATTTCAATCTATACTTCCCTTCCTGTCCTCCTATTTCAATCTATACTTCCCTTCCTGTCCTCCTATTTCAATCTATACTTCCCTTCCTGTCCTCCTATTTCAATCTATACTTCNCTCTCTCTCTCTCTCTCTCTCTCTCTCTCTCTCTCTCTCTCTCTCTCTCTCTCTCTCTCTCTCTCTCTCTCTCTCTCTCTCTCTCTCTCTCTCTCTCTCTCTCTCTCTCTCTCTCTCTCTCTCTCTCTCTCTCTCTCTCTCTCTCTCTCTCTCTCTCTCTCTCTCTCTCTCTCTCTCTCTCTCTCTCTCTCTCTCTCTCTCTCTCTCTCTCTCTCTCTCTCTCTCTCTCTCTCTCTCTCTCTCTCTCTCTCTCTCTCTCTCTCTCTCTCTCTCTCTCTCTCTCTCTCTCTCTCTCTCTCTCTCTCTCTCTCTCTCTCTCTCTCTCTCTCTCTCTCTCTCTCTCTCTCTCTCTCTCTCTCTCTCTCTCTCTCTCTCTCTCTCTCTCTCTCTCTCTCTCTCTCTCTCTCTCTCTCTCTCTCTCTCTTTGCAAAATTGAATATTTGAAATGTTTTTCCTAAAACTTGAGAAATATGAGGAAACCGGCAGGAATTCTTTAATTTATCTGCAGCTAGTCTAAGTACAAGCTGTACAGTGTACAAGGTTGTTTAAAAATACTTAAAGGTTGCCCCTCTCCTCCTATATAATGTAACTATTTCATACTAGGCCTTCCAACCTTAGGAATGGGATGAAAGTATGGAGAAATATAAATTTAACAATTTAATGACGACCACATACAGAAATAAAAACAACTATATTTTGAATTTATAAGATGTAACCATATAAATTTGCTTTTCTCACACACATTAAAATTAGAGGAGCTACGAGGTCACAAAGTTGTATAACACTATATGTCTAGTTTGCAGTGACCTGAAACTAAAACTTTACGGTCACAATCTGTTTTCTTTTTGTTCAAAGGTCGTTTTTAAAGTCAAGTCTTTTAGGAGTAAACCTGAGTAAGACAAATATTGAAAAATTACACTCAATTGTACCGCTAAAAGGAGCTGTTTAGAACTAAACTTTATTGTGTCACTTGAAATTACGCGTACAGTCCCTGTAAGTCTACTTATTTTGTGAAACAAAAATAAAAGTTGTAATTCCATCTCCATACCGTTAATGATGACTTTTCAAAAAGTTTTGACAAAGTCAACAAAAATTGATGTTTTTAAAGAACCAATTCACCGCTATATAGGAGTTATAAAAGGAAACCTATCTAAACCTATCTAAACCTATCTAAACCTATCTAAACCTATCTAAACCTATCTAAACCTATCTAAACCTTCTAAACCTATCTAAACCTATCTAAACCTATCTAAACCTATCTAAACCGCTGCCAGTCACGTAATGTAATTATTTTTTCAAAAGCAACGCTATAAACGGCTGAATCTTCACATCCCATACGTTTAGTTTTAATGTTTTGTACATTTTTATTTTATGATTTTTAAACGGATTCTGTGCGGTGTAAAAGTACAGGAAGGTTTGCAGTGTAAACCACTATTCGTAATGTAAAGTAATCGCGAATTTAAAAAAAACTTTTCGAATTCAAAAAATTTCCCTTTTTAAAGGAATTGTTATTATTATTTCATGCAACCTTCCATTTAAAAAGGGGCCTCTTTAAAACTTCCTCTGTTCAAAAATGTGGAAAAAATACGGTTTTTTTCTAGCTTAGAAATGAATGATTCTGACAATTTCCTTCATTATTTCTGAAACATTCTCTGAAAAAAATAACCACAAGAAACTAAAAACTATTTTTAAATGCAGTCTTGAACAGACATGTGTCGTTGTGAAACAGACAAGCCACTTTATAAGTGCAAAGTCACATGAAATTTCAAGTACTGTCCCTTGTCCTTTGAACCATCAAATGTTGGCTGTTTGCAAATCAGTTTAATTCACGGTTGGAGGTTATGAATAATGATTCGCAAAATTGAAAACCATTTTTTTGCAAAAGATCTAGAATTTTTTTAAAATCTTATTATTTTTTCCAATTTTAGTTTTCATCTTTTTATTATTTAATTCCAATTCAGTCGAATTTAATTTACGGTTAAAAAAATAATTATTTTGAAAATTTCGCTCATAATCCAAAATTGTTATCCACCAATCTGTAATCCAGAAGGTTTGACGGTTTCTTTTATCCCGGAATAGTTTAAGGTTCCCTATATTCCTGGAAGGTTAAGGGTACCCTGTATTCCGGAAGGGTGATTGTTCTCTGTATTTCGGAAGGGTTTATGGTTCCCTGTATTCCGGATGGGTTCAAGGTTCCCTGTATTCCGGAAGAATTGATAGTTCCATGTATTCCGGAAGGGTTTGGGGTACCCTGTATTCTGGAAGGGTTGAGGGTTCCCTGTATTCCGGAAGGGTTGAGGGTACCCTGTATTCCGGAAGGGTTGCGGGTTCCCTGTATTCCGGAAGGGTTGACGGTACCCTGTATTCCGGAAGGGTTGAGGGTACCCTGTATTCCGGAAGGGTTGAGGGGTTCCCTGTATTCCGGAAGGTTTGAGGGTTCCCTGTATTCCGGAAGGGTTGAGGATACCCTGTATTCCGGAAGGGTGGAGAGGATGTGAGGGGTGTGGTTTGTTTATTATTGCACTGTTCAATGAATTCAGATTGAATTGACACAGTTCTATACTCTACATCTAGAACTCTACCAGCTTTAAAGGGATCGTAAGTTTAAAAGAAGCAAATTACGCCGTTTTCACATTCTGTATCTGTCAATTACGAATCTGGGCCATATTCTTTCTAATCTTCGATCCCAAGAAACCCTTTAGAACAAATCTAATACCGCCAGATGGAAAGGGATGGAAAGGGATGGAAAGGGATGAAAAGGGATGGAAAGGGATGGAAAGGGATGGGTTAGTTAAAGGGCACCTTTGAGAATGAAAAAGGGAGTTCCTCAAATAAAGGATTAGTAAGGATTATGACAAGCAAGTCAAAATTTTTAGATTTTTTACAGATTCACCGACCGAAGAAAAACATTATTATTTCTTAGTATTCATGAAGTTTCAATGTAATAATTTCAAAAAATGAGTGTGGTGCTTTCTCCTGAATAATAATTAATGTTTCAGTTTCTTGGATGCATAATAATTGGATATATGGCCTGGGTTCTAGCTACTTCAGTTACTGTCTCACGGTTCATTGATGGAACAATGGTAAGTTTTGGGGTTGTTCTTGTTCTTCTTTATTGGTTTGTTATGGCTCTTGTTCTTGGTACTGTTTTTGTTCTTGTGTTTGGTATTTTCATCGGTTTGTTTTCTTGCACTTGCTTTGTTATTAGTCTTCAAACCTTGATCTTTTTCTTGGTCTTGCTATCGGTCTTGTCCTTGTTCTTATCTTTTTCCTTTCTAATTCTTGTTCTTGTTCTTGTTCTAAGGATTATTTTGATTTTTTTTCTTAGTATTGTTCTTGGTTTTAATATTGTTCTTGTTCTTGGTATTTTTCTTGTTCTTTATCTTTCTAAGCTATTATTCTTGATCTTAGTCTTGTTCTTGTACACTTCTTGGTTTTTTTTCTGGTCTTTTTGGGTTCTTGTTCTGATTTGAACTGATTTATCTCTGATTTCTTTTTATCTTCTTTGTTTTTTGCTCTTTTTGATTGCCCTGACAGTTTTCTGTATTACATTCACAAAGTTTTCGATTTTTACTCAGTTATTTTAATCTTCCGTGATAATGTTTTTTCCAGGTTAGGTTAAGGTAAAGAGAGTGTTCGGGAAAAATGAAAAGGGGTATAGTCTGATATCGAATTGATTTCGATCTTGATCGCTACCAATTTTATTTCTATCTGTTGCATCAATGAGGAGAAAATGTTTAAAATGTCCAACACCCAAGAGCGCAGCGTCCATACAAATTCACGTAGTTACATTTTTTCACTCAGATCGTAAATAATTCAATTATATTAAAAACTTCTCATTCAGATATCATAATCTACAATTGTCGAATTTAATTAAAGGTATTCGTATATATATGCTATTTCAAAATATTTTTTATTTTCTATGATTTCTTTTGAAAACATTCATTCCCGTTCCGAGGATTTTTGATAATGAAGACGACATTTCCATATCTTCCAAAAATGTTCGAAAATCCAGCGCCAGCTGTGAAAACAAGTTTTAAGCGAAATATTAATTAAAAAAAATAATTTAAAATCTTTATAAAATATCAACTATTTACGAATGCATCGAATTCCATTCGACAATTACAATGCATGAAGAGTAGATTTTAATTTAATTTATTTTTTCTGGGTCCACTCCTGCGCTCTTCGGTATGAGTCGTTTTTAAACATGTTCTCCTTATATTCGCAACAGATAGAATTAAAATTAGTAACGATCGATATCGAATTATATTTGACGTTAACATGCACACTCTTTCATTTTTGGTGAACACTCCCTTTAAGGTATGATATATATTCACTTGAGGTTGCCAAATTTTATCCATGGCATATTTAAAAAATAATTCATGAATACTTAACAATAATCAAATATAAATGATTTTCTTATAAGTCAAATAGTTAGTTGGTTGCAAATTAAGTCATGCCTTAATGGATTTAAGGATAAAGGTTCAGGGCTATAATACTTGTATAATATATTTATATATGCAATAAGTATGCAGGATAATTATAAAAATAAACGCATTTTATCTTGATTTTAGTCGAAAACTACATAAAATATTTCTGAATTGTTAACGTAACCTCTACTGACAATTGAGTTATTTATATAGTGGCATGTCCGATTCACACCAGTACTCTTTAAATATAAATATAAACAACACGGAGAAATATAATGTTGTATTTCAATCAGGAGGATCTTCTTTCTTTAATACTGCATTACATAATTTAATGAGAGACCGAAAATGAAACTAATCTATTTTAAGATAGAATAAGAACGATAACTTCATCAGTTAAGTTCGGGGAATTACAGGTTTAAAGAGCACCGTTATGTTTTGTACCAAACATGCCTCTCTTGAAATATGTATCCTCAAAAATGGAGAATATGGGAGAATTTTACAATCCCTTTATTGTGACAGAAATGACATTTATATTTGTAAACATAAGTTGAAATTTGTTTTTCACTTTTGACCATTTATATTTGTATTCTAAAATTCTACAATTTCTTTTTCGGGCAGCAACAGTTTAAAATAGGAAACAGAATTAAAACTATTTGCATGGAGATGCAAATATTAAACTTAACGTCAGTAAACACAGTTCTATGAATTCATTTCACTTGAGGCAGTGTAATCTTAAATACTTGAATCTATCGTACAAAAGGGACCGTTCTCTGTAAACAACAAGTTTTCAATATTTGAGCAAAAAATCCCATTTAGTGAAAAATATTGCCTTGGTTTTAATAGCAAAAAACTAAGCCTTTGTCACCCTTGCAGGAACCCATATAGAAAAATTCACCAATATGGTCCAGCCGTTTGGCCAGCTAGAAGGTACAAATATATACATATATACAATGTATACTGCATAGGGTGGCCTAAAAAACAGGGATTAGGGGTTTTCAGCCCTTTTATTCGTGTAAAAAATCGAAAATGTACCCCAAAATTTAGTTTTGAATTTTTGATAAGGTCCTTTAATTAAATTGTTGTCATCCGATCTGTCCGTTTGTTGTAAAACCATGTCGAATATTCGAAAATATCTCCGTTTACTTCAGCTAACACATACTGTTTATGAAATAAAAACATTCATTTAGATTTTAGTTCTGGGTTTTTGAAATTTAAGATGTTCTACGTTGTCATAAACTCTATGTGGAGAAACCTTAAAAGAAAAGGAAGCAACAAACAGCTTTGATGGACCTTAGAAATAGGCCATTTTTTAAAAGGCATCAAATTGGGTCGTTTTCAAGAAATAATTTGAAATATAACACTTAAGTAATGTTATTAAGTATTTATAAGTAAAATTTCTAAAAAAAATCTGAGTGGGTTCAGATTTATATAAATGAACTTTTTATTTTTAAAACAATAATTGTTAGCTGAAGTTAACAGAGATATTTTCGATTATTCGACATGGTTTTACACGAAAAACTGAAAGATCGGACAATTTAGTTAAAAGAACTCTTCTAAAGTTAAAAACTATATACTCGGGAAGATTTTTGAGTCTTTTTAAATGAAAAAAGGGATTAAAATTCTAATCCCTGATTTTTTTAGGCCACCGGCCCTGTATATGAGCGAAGAGCTTCATTATTTATATATATATATATGAATTTTTTTCAGGCTTGGTCATATGTCGTGATAACTGTAGGATTCAGTTTATTTTTCTCCGGGCTCCTTGGTTGGGTTGGAGCTGCTAGTGAATCCCCATGCTTAATTAGGTATTTCATTTATAGATCCATTTTAATTTAAAGGACCAGTCCCTTTAAAATCAATAAAAATCATTGACAACCCCCCCCCTCTCACCACCACCATATTTTCAGCTTAACATAAAACGATTCGACCTTGTTCTTTCACAAGTCTAATTATTTTCAGAATTTTTCAAATTTCAATTTGATCTTGTCCAGCAAAGTGCAAAATTAATATCTTTGAACATAATATCTTTCAAAATATTTTTCAAATGTGTTTTTTTTAAATAAAAAAGATACAACACTCGATCTACAGTTCCTGATTCCACCGAAATACATTGATTAACAAACAAATTAAGATTTATAATGTCTAATCAATTCATTATCTATCAATTTAATCAGGTTTTCTAATAAAGTCATGAGTAGAATGGGGTCATATTTGATGGTTTTATTCAACATAAATGAAGGTTATCAGGAGGGGGCGGGGAGGGGGTGTTTATGAAACAAATGGGGGGGGGATTTCTAGAATATAAATTAATTCATATTAAATTCCTCTAGGTGAAATACTAAATTGGAATTTGCTGAGAAATTCCCTCCTAAAAATAGAAACCCTATAAAATACGAACTTATTTATCTGCAAAATGAAATTTATAAAATAAAATATTTAAGTTTGTTCAATCAAAAGTCCCTCCATATTATCAACAAAACCAGCTTGCTTTAAAAAATTTTTTGCATATAAACTGAAAACTTTAGGAGTGAAAGGTTTTTCCAATGATTCTACATCAAATAAACTTTTCAAGAAACATAACTTCTCCTTGTTCATGATAAAGATAAAACAACATGGATAGATTAAAATTCCATTATGAAAGTGGTGGGGTGTAGGTTTATGAAGGGGGGAGGGGTGGTTAGGATAAAGGGTGTAGGTTTATGAAAGTGGTGGGTTAGGATAAGGGGTGTAGGTTTATGAAGGGGGGGGTGGTTAGGATAAGGGGTGTAGGTTTAAGAAGGGGGGG